CGCACCTTCCCCAAGTTCGTTCCTTAGCCCGTCACTCCTCTCTACCACAGCAGCCTGGCAATGACAATGAATGGCTATGTGGGTGACTATTGGCCCAGTGCCTGTCTCCCTTACAGATCTGGTGAGCACCAGGGCAGACTGTTTTCCTAGTGTCCAGCATAGCGGAGGTATGAATTCATGAAATTTGTCGAATGACTGCTTATAGGAATAGGAAAAAGATTTTAATTCTACTGTGCCCTTTTTAAAAAAGCATTGAACCCAGTGTCCTTAAAAGCCCAGCCACTCACCATAAAAAGTTAGATGCTTTTAGGGAATTCACACACATTGAGACTGCTAGGCTCTCATTTTTTATATTAGTGCTCCACTATGACTGGCCAATAAGATACTGGTGGTTATTTCTCTAAAATTTTTTTTCAGGCAATAGAACCAAAGCAGTTATAATATCTTTTAGCTAGAACTGGCTATTTCTATAACTGGCCAATGTCATGACAGTCTTGAAGGACACTAAATGAGACGCAGGTGTCTTGAAAAACTTAACACAATTCTCTGAAGAATAAAGCTTACCACCACCGAGCAGTTTGGTGTCCACGGGGTCAATTTGATTATTCCTGTGACTTAAAGATATTCTCCTCCAGATGAAGGCATAGAATGCTCTCAGCCAGTTGGAAAAAAAAACGTATAAATCACTAAAATCATTCCCAAACTCTTGAGCACAGTTAAGCATCACCACAAATCTTCTGGCCAAAGTTCTGTCTGAAAAGATGACCAGGGTAAATGCCCTACTGATTCTTAGACTCCTCTCCTGCATCCTGCCCCTGATTCTTGGACCCGAACTCTGTGATGGAGAATAAAACAAGAGGGATTTTGTGTAGGCCAAGTGATAGAAATTTTTATTGAACTAAATAAAAATAAAAGAGGCCTTCTTTGTACTTTCCTCACTATTGATGGACTCATTCATCTTAGCCAGGTTTAATCAATTTCCTGGAACTTAGTTATAAGTTGTACTTTATCAGTGGTCAAAAGCTGAAAGTCTTATACCCAACATTTCATTGGTCCAAAGCCATGTCCTTTTCATGTAGCTGATCAATAACTATGTTCAGTGTACGAAGTCCTTCTAAGAATATACAGATACTGACTTAGACCCTACCCAAATCCACATGGTTATCCATAAATAGGAAAGGACATGCAGGACTTCCTTAGAAACCAAGCCTCTGGTAGGAGGTGACATCTGAGATTGCCGGGGAAGACAAAGGCTACAATCTACACAGCCCTGTGTCACCAAAGGGGCATCTGACGGGCCTTTATTTGAGAATGGGAATGGTTTTCCCAGGATGCCTACAAAAGCCCACCTGACCCACAAGGAAGCTAAATTTGCAAGTCTAACTGTGGGCTTTAACTGCCTCCATGTGCCAGGGTAGATCAAGTTCCTACTCTGGACACAGCAAACACAAGTCGTCACCATGGGCCAGAGCTGCAGACATGGGTGGGGATCCAGCAGGGGCAGGATGCAGGAGAGGGGTCCCTGGTGACAGAGACGGTTATTACTTAAAGGTTCAAAAATTATAGCCATCTGAGTGTTCAGTATTTCTTTTTCTTCTCAGTGGGCAATAGGAGCAAGACGAAGGATCAATAGATAAAGCGGTATAATCTCTTAATATCCCATGGTCACAAGTGACTGACAAGAAGCCAGGGCTCATGCATGTTGGTGCATAAATCGAAGTGTCCTTGGGCACACTGTTGTCTTCAGTGCAAGTGGGCACTCGGAGGGCATGTCCCCGTGGATGCGTGTGCCTCGCTGAGTCTGATCTCTGACTTGCCTCCAAGATAGAGGTTCCAGAAAGTGCCACAGAAGAAGAGACACAAGGAGGCCTTGGCGGTAGCTCTGATGGGGAGCATGAGAGCCAGAATCCATGTCAAAAAAGAGCACCTGCTGGGTGCAGCTTCTTTGCCCTTGCTCAAAAATCCTTAAGTTCTCAGAGGAAAAGACCACAAAAGCAGAGGCCAGGTAGAGAATATGGGAAAACATGACTGGCTTATCAGCTGAGAGGCAGGATGGAGGCAGTGACAGTGCTTGGGCTCTGGAGTCCAATCTCCTGGGCTTGAAACCTGTTTTCTCCCTAAGCTGTGTGACCTGTAGCAAGTTATTAACTTCTTTGAGACTCTGCTGCATTATTTTGAGACTGTGGGTTATTGTGAGGATCAAATGAGATGATTCAGGTGAAGTGTGGAACAGAGTACCTGTCATAGGGTAAATGCTTTGGAAAGTGTTAGAAATTGTTATTTTAGCAACTTGATGAGAAAACATAGAAAGCCCAAATAAATCGTATCAGGTAAGAAGGGACAAAAATACAGATTAAAATAAAACAAAACAATACAAAACAATATAATGCATCCTCTGAAAAGACTGCATTAATTGAGGATCTAGGCTCAAGGGCCAAAAGTGCATGTGTGCATGCGTGGGCATGTTTGCATTCTTGAGTATTTGAAATGTTCTGTGGGGTGACAGTGGGGATTTTCTAGGGTTTACACGGTAAGTGCCTTTAGCTTGAAAGTAAGGGTAACAAATTGCTAGGCAAGGAGCCCACTAACTAAGGCAAATGGTCAAGGTTTGCAGGGTGTGAGGCTCCAGGGAGGTGGCGGAAATACTTCGGAAATACTCTTGGAAGGAACAAACCACAAGCAACAAAGCAGGAAAGGCAGGATGTGGGGGGCAGAGCCTGATAGGACACTGCTTAGGTGAGGGGAGAGGTGTGACCAGAGTCTAAAGGAATAAACATGGGGTCCAGCCAACGGAGGCATCTGGTTCATAGGAGAACTAGAGGAAATGGCACAGCTCTGGGTCGAGGGCTCGTACAAGAGGCCCCAACTGGCCCCAACTGGCCTGGCTGGGCTGCAGAGGACACCAGGGTGTAGCTGCCAGGAATTTCAATTTGTGCCCAGGAGAGGAACCAGAGGTGGGGTGGGCATGTGCACAGCGGCACTCTGAGCCTCACTTCTGAGAGCTGCCGAATTAGCCCCCACCCCTCCCTTCACACTGCCTCTGCCTGGGCCTTTGAAGGTCTCTGCCCCACAGCACTATGGGGACTCCGTCTACTACAGCATCATTCTCAGGATAGAAGACAGTGAACTTCACACTTCTCACGCACTGAGCATTCTTCGCGCTGACAATACGACAGACTTATAAACTCAAACTGGAAAGTGTTTCACTTGCCTACTGCTGTTTGCAGAAGCCTGCAAGGTCCAATTCTGAGGATCACAGTTCAAGGCTTTGATTACTTATCTATACTTCCCTTCTTGGGCCTTGTGTGGACATCGAGATCAGACAGACCTGGGTGCGAACACCGTGCACTTACTGGCCCTGGGACATGGGACTAATGACTTCCCCTCCCTGAACTTCAGTTTCCTGTGTGTTAAGCGGGGTTTGTATGCATTCTGCATGAGGGGCAATGGTGTGTGCAAAGAGAGAATGATAGTAGATGAGATCCTGGATATAAGCAAAGAACCTCACCCAAGAGCTGGTGCACAGAAGTCACTTAATAACTGCAACTGTTGGGGCACCTGGGTGGCTCAGTTAATTGGCTGCCTTTGGCTCAGATCATGATCCCAGGGTCCTGGGATTGAGTCCGGCATCAGGCTCCCTGCTTCTCCCTCTGCCTGCCACTCACCCTGCTTGTGCTCTCTCTCTGTCTCTTCCCCTCTCTGACAAATAAATAAATAAAATCTTAAAAAAAAAATAATTGCAACTGTTGGGTCTTGTTGTTGCGGTCTGTCTATAAGGACATATGAGGTTGATGGGATTTTACTGCACACTGGAACGGAGACCCTCACTGATTTCAACCAGGGCTGCTGGACCTAGATGGGCCAACTGAAAAGCAATCTGCTCTTGGTGCCCACAATCTGCCAGCTTTGAACTGCAGCGGCACCTAACAAAGCAAGTGAATTGCCGTAAACTGTTAATGACCAAGATGGTGCCTGGGAACCCCGTAAAATGGCTACCCCATTCCTGTGCCGTTGGTTAACCTCTCATCTGCCATCCGGCTTTCCCAATGGTTATGCTCTCAGCTGCCTAATTGTCTAGAGGCTTTGATTTATCCGACAAAGGAAGGTGGCCACAAGGCCACAAAGGTGAGGGCCTCACCTGGGACAAGCCCCCCAGGAAAGCGTGGCTGGTGCTACGGTTGCCTACACAGATGGCCACAGTGCCCGCCGGTGAAGGCCAGGGTGGCCCTCCAGCTGGAGGACAGGCCCTGGATACTAAAGGGTGTGTGGAAAGCCTTGGGCCGTGCTTTCCCCAGTGTTCAGCGGAGTAGCTAAGGCAGACCCTGCTTTTCCATACTTGACACTTCACCTGCCTGCCTAGTCACTGCGGTCTAGTTAACACCTACATAGGCCCTCTCAATCACGGACTCGTTTATTCCTATATGGGTTCGTTCATTCCACAAATATCCACGAGGCATCTACCATGTGTGCAGCCCTGTTCTAGGCGCTGGAGATACATGATGGAGAGATACATCAGGGATGAAAGAGACAAAACCCTCTGTCCTCAGGAGCTCACACTGCAGTTTAAAACCCAGGAAGGTACATAGAGAGTGTGTGTGAAGATGGAAAGAGCTATGTAAAAGTAATAAGGTGGGGAAGGGCAACAGGATGAACTAGAGGAAGGGGGTGCAATTTGCAGAAAGGTGGTTAAGGAGGCTGCACCGAGGAGGTGATATCTGAGTAAGACTTGAAGGGGTGAAGGCCTTTACCTGCTTTTCCGAGGTGACCACACCAAGGTCACGTCACACCAAGGTCACACGGCCACCCCCTGCCTAACAAGGGAATTCCTTTGCTTGTGAGAGCGCCCAGGCCTCATCCCATTTCGCAAGCTCAGGTGTGTGCTCCCAGCGGGCCACGAGTCCCACAAGGGTGGGAGCCCAGCACAACGCTGCACACCCAGGAAGCCCTGTGGCCAAGAGGTGCGCGCGCGTCCGCGCGCGGCAGCCCCAGCGGGCCCTCACCTCCTCCAGCCGCCGCCGCTGCTCCTTCTGCTCCTCTATGCGCTTCTGGCGCTCAGCCAGCAGCTGCCGCTTGTGCTCCTCATTCTCCCGCTGCTGCTGCTCCAGCTGCTGCCGCCGCAGGGCCTCCGAACGCTCCTTGTTGGCCAGCTGGAGCCTCAGGAAGTCCCGCCGCAGCGTGGACTCCCCTGGCAGGTTCAGAATGGAGCTGCGGGCAGGAGAGAGAGAGACGGGGAGGCTGCGTGTGGCGAGGGCCGCCCTCACCCCCGCGCTGGGGGAGGCCGGCCGGGCCAGCAGCTCGCTTGCGCGCGGGGACGCGAGCCACACGGGCCGGCCACGGGCTCTCGGGCCCGCTGCTACTCACAGTACTCAGCCCCAGAGAAACGGAGTCATAGGCACCACAGACCAGTGTGCAGCCTCCTTTTCACGGTGGCCATGGGCAGGCGCATGCTGTCACCATCCCGAGAGAGAGGTCCTCCTCTCTCCAGCACCGTCTTCACTGCTCCCTTGCCCTGGTGACCCGCAAAGATCTGCTTCTAAAGGTTTTAGGGAGCGTGCGAGCCCTAGGGCTTGGATCAGCTGAATTTTCACGTTTAAGAGAGGCATGAACAAAGCCAGCAAATGAAAGGAACAACCAGAAGCAACAAGGGAACGCGTTCTACTAAGAGGACATCACCGTCCCCGCACCACCTCCAAGACGCCTTGCACCCAGACCCAGGAGGCAAATGACAGGCTGCTTGTGTGAAGACGTGATAAGCCAGGGAGGGAAAACATCAGAGTCAAGGTCACCACAGAGTAGAATATGAACCCACATCTGAGAGTTCAGAGCTGTTTCACTGCACCACGGTTAAAGGGAAGTGACATGGTTTGGCTCTGGAACAGATGATGTAGCGAGGACTTCAACCCAGCTCACGGATCCCTAGATTCCGTTGAAGCACCGTGGGCCTCAGTTTTCTCATCTGTAAAATGGTAGTTGTGCATCATGTGCATATGTGTGTGTCCCTGGTGGTCTAGGGCTTCTCTATTCACATCTCACGGCATGTGAACAGCTCAAAGTTACACTCTTTGGTTGTGCATAGCAGCCTAACAGGGAGGTGGGGAAGGCTCCTATTTGTTCACGCAAACCTAGCCCTTTTAATCTTGCTGGCGACTTCCACTTGAAATAGATCCATTAAATAACTAGTGAGCCATTTTTATGTCGCAAGCACTGTAAGAGGCTCTAGTGGATAGAGCAGTAGCTAAACAAACTCTCTCTCGGGCGCCTGGGTGGCTCAGTCGTTGGGCGTCTGCCTTCGGCTCAGGTCATGATCCCAGGGTCCTGGGATAGAGTCCCACATCGGGCTCCCTGCTCAGCGGGAGACCTGCTTCTCCCTCTCCCACTCCCCCTGCTTGTGTTCCTGCTCTCGCTGCTCTCTCTGTCAAATAAAAAAAAAAAAAAAAAACCCTCTCTCTCTCTCTCTCTCTCATGATCTTCTTGCGGGGAAGAGAGACAGACAAATCATTAGACAGACAAATGGCTGCAAATAACATAATTTCACATATGAACAGGCTCCATAGAAGACGTAACAGTTTAAGAGTGACAGTGGTAGGAGGCTGGGACAGGGATTAAGGTTCTGCTTCAGATGGGGTGATCAGGGGAGACCTCTCTGAGAAGGTGCCAGATGAGCTGAGACTCAAATGATGAAGAGTCGGCCGCACGAAGAAGTAGGAGAAGAACCTTTCAGGCAGAGAGGAAAGCAAACGTAGAGGCCTGTGGTGGGAACAGGTGGGGCCTCTCCGAGGACTTCCCAGAGCAGAGTGAAGGAGAAAGGTGGCCCGGGAGGAGGCCAGGGACACTGGGCAGACCCGGGGAGCCACGGGGCATGGAAACCATGCACGGAAAGCTTATAGTCAGGACATTGACGTGATGGGATTTGTTTGGCTGCCTAGGGACAACTGTCCGCAGAGGGCCACCAGCTGGGCTGCTGCGGCAGTGGCTCTGTGGGGCGGGGCGGGGTGGGGCAAGGGGACGGAGGAAGAGAGAAACATTGGTGGCAGAGTTAACGAAGCCGGTTGATGGATGCGGTGTGTGGAGTGAGCGATGACTTGCAGGTTTTGTCTTGGCACCCGGACAGTGGTGGTGACGCCAACTGGGGTGGTAAATGGGGGGCGGGGAGCAGGTTTGGTGGCAGTTGATGAGGAGATTATTCTGTGTTGGACAGTGTAACCACTGTGCAGTGTGACTGTCATCTATGCCCAAAAATGACATAAAAGGGCTTCATTCTTGAGGTCTTACAGACAGTGCTTGGATTCCACGAGCACACCTCCTCTAAAACTTAACAGCTTTTGTGTAGAACACTAAAACAAACCCCAAGTGACAGTGCTTATGTACACAGGCCACAAGCAGGACTTGGGGAACCATGCACACGAGGAGTCTCCATTAATATAAACTGATGCAGAATCAATGTCAGGCGATTGGAGCTGTAGTAGTGGCTCAATCATCATTGGTGTGTGGCTTGGGTGCCATCTTTGGGCTCTCACCCCATTTCTACAATGAGATAACCACTGTCCCTTTCTACTTTTCAGGATTTCATGAAGATTAATTACATGGGTCCATAAGACAGGACTTGGAACATAATCTTCAATGTGATATAATGACACGTTACAGTTATCGAAGTGTTAAGGCATGGCTAGGTCAGCCCGCTAAGTGACTCCTAACACACAGTTTGGCAAGTACTAGTTAAAACAAGGCTTCTCAGTTCTATAGAGAGTGATCAGTAGGGCTGACATGACATCTGGGTGAGCTTTGGAAAAAGAAGAATAGTATGCAACTTCTCTGAGAGCAGGGCACTTGGCTCTTTGCCTTTATAAGAACGTTCATTTTCTGTGTCACTACTTGACAAACATCATCTTTATGCAGCTAAACTGGGGGCAGCCAATGTGTAAAGCATCGGATGGAAGGAAAAATTCTTCTTCAGTCTTTGACCTTGATAATTCCTGTATCAGGTGCAGAGAAAAACTGGACGGCCCCGTAAGTCCCTCCCTCTTCCAGTAGTTTAGCAATAATCCAGCTTTGTAGATCTAACTCAGAAAAAGAAGCCACTAGCTTGTTCTAGCAGCGACGACGGAGCTGGCCCCTTTCCTGAGCAGGCAGCTCTGCCTTAGCAGTATGGGAATTTCTCCTCCTGGACCACTGGAGTCCCCTCCTTGGATGGCTAGAGGAGGGGGACCCATTTCCCCAGTGAGCCTCCTGCTAGTGCGTTTTCCCCAATAAATCTCACTTCACCTACACTGACCATGGTGTGTGTGCCTGTGCCACTCAACTCACCAAACTGCCACCAGCTGAATTCTCTCATGGAAGAGAAATCCTGGCAATGTGAGCACACTAACCTTAATTATTCATACACAGACTGGAAGAAGTTGGAATCAATGTCAAGTGAAATTCAAAACGCACGGGTCATAACGATAGAGCAACACTGATCCTGGAGTCCAACATGTGACAACTGGAATGAGCAAGAAATTTTCTATTTAGGGTTCCCCTCTAGAGTGTGATTTGATTTCCTGGAAACCATTTCCTCTTGGATTAGCTTGTGGTGAAAATACCAAGACATGTGACAAGGACAGTGGCTGCCCAAATGGGCTTCTCAAAGGTATGAAGTAATGGACTGAATAATTCGAGTCCAAAAATACCACTTAGGTCTCCTGAAAGTCGTAGTTTTAGGTCCTTTGAGTCGTGCATTACCCAGATAATTGCCTCCTACCCATTCCACACGTGACATATGTGAGGAAACAAGGTCTTAGAATACAGACCATAAATCTTAGGCGACAAGGTAAAGAATACGCTGATTTCCACGTTTTTGTAAGAGTGTGCCTGGGGACATTTTCCCAAATTAATGAGTATGTTCATGGGCAATAAATTAAATAAGACCACCTTGCTGGATTCTTAAAAATGAACCTATAAATCAAAAGGAAGTGAGTTTCACACAAGCACAATTCAGAATGTGAGAAGAAGACTTGGCCTTTGTTCTCCTACCTGGGCTCTCCCGAGTCATTCTCCTCCTCTTCTTCCTCACTTCCGCTGTACTCATACTCGGTCTCATCTAAAGAGAGACTCACAGAATGTTAGTGCACAAAAAGATGCTACAGCTCAGCCAATCCCACCCCCCTCGTGTTGTATATAAGTAATCTGAGGCCCAAAGAGTTGTCATTAATGCTGACCTGGGACAGGCTCCAGGCCTCCTGACTTGTGGTCTAACAGTTCCCACTAGCTGAGCTGGATTTGAGAACGTGGAACTCACATCCAAGACTGTTCCAGCTGACTCGAGATATCTGTCCCTAATGCCTGCTGTTCAATGACAAGGAACTGAAGAATAATTGTTCGGTTTGTGTTAACTCCCATTAGAGGACTACCTAAACCAATCTTTATTGGCCCACTATTCACTTACTGTCTGTATTAATCATTTTTTAAGTAAGAGTTTTATTATGACTTACATGGACCCACAAATTGTCTTAAATATCTCGATAAACACCAGAAAGAAATTTGATAGCGCATGCTATTAGAAATATAGAGTTAAATGACCCACCGGGGACATTCATTTAATTCAGTAATATGTTAAGCAAGTTAACACGTAATAATGAATAAGATTGAGTCTTTGCTTTGGAGGAGATCAGAATCTAATGGGCGAGATGGACAAGTAGGTAATCAGATCTGCCATGATTATTAAGAAATTAATCTTTACTGGGTGTCTCCCATGCTAGTCACCCTGCTAGATACTTTACTTATGTTCTCCCATTTATTTTGCTTAACAATCCTTTAACATACTACCCACTTTTCAAGCGAAGACGCTATTACAAGAGGGTAAGTGACAGGACCAATGACTTACTAATAAAAGACCGATCAATCTGGGATTTGGATTTAGAATTCCATCCAGAACTTCTCCAACTTTAAAACTAGTGTTCTTTCCAACATATTATATGCTAAATAGAAATGTATAAAAAGAGCAATGGGATAATAGAGAAAGGCGCAAAGTCCATTGGTCATAATGGGGGAAGGAGCCAGCAAAGTCTTTTGAGGAGGAAATGAGCTGGGCCTTGCAATGTCAGCGACCCTGTTCCAGACAGATGGCAGCTGAAAGTGGTGGGAAAGGACATTCTAAGCAACATAACCACGTGAGTAAGGCTGATAGTAGCACAGGGCATGACATGTTCACAATGAATTGTGAATGGCTAGATGTCTGGCTGTGAGAAAAGCAGACAGAATGAGTAAGCCTAGCACGTCTGATACAACTTCTTGATCCTTATATATACCTTGCTGAGGACTTTCCTGTGGGCAATGGGGAATTTTGGAAGAGCTTTTAATTTTAAGCAAGGGAGGGTCACATTACTGTGATCCTTTCATAGTTGTGGGTTAGTAATTACAACTTTGAAGGCCCTTGCGGAGCCTTAAAAAGGAACCAAAACTGCAATTTGGTTGTGTTACCACCAGGAGGCAGCACCTATAACGAGAACTAAACACTCCGCCTTCCCTACTCTTCAGCCAGTAAAGAGATAATGAAAAGGTATTGAGCAGGGCACGTGTTGTGATGAGCACTGGGTGTTATACTTAACTAATGAGTCATTGAACACTACATCAAAAACTAATGATGTACTATATAGTGGCTAACTGAACATAATAAAAAAAAAGAAAAAGAGCCAAAAGCAGTGACTTCAAGTATATTTTTTAAAATCACAAGTTAGCTTCAAATATTTAGATATGCACAAAGTTTTGGGGCTATTTATTTTTTGAGTATTATTTCACCAAAATGTAAAGGACCTTCATAAAGTGTTTCACTCTTTCACACTGAAAGCTGACTATTCCAAACTTTCCTGAAATGAATCAACAGAGAGTTTGAAGTAAACTGCAGAAATTTTATCTAGCAAAGGGAAATTCTAGCAAGGGAAAGAAGCACACAACTAATCCAAATATTTCTACTCTCTAGGGTAAAACCTTCATTTGTCAGGCCCTTCAGTTGTAATACTGCACCAGAATCTGGTCTCATTGCTTTTATATTACTGGCATAAATTAGCATATGTCAACATATCTTAAGGAAAAAATAGTATCAGGTTAAAAAAATCATAAATCGATTCTCATTAAAATTGTTTGATTGTACCAAAAGCTGGTCTTAGAGCTACTAAGAGAGTGTGAAAGTCCTAGAGGAAGTCAATTAAATCATTTGATGAAACTGAGCAAATGGAATGAGCCCTCACTTGATCGATACTCTTTCTGGGGAGCAAAAAAGAAGGCTTCTGATGGCTCTAAACCTAAACGGAATTAGGTTCCTTACATTACCAGGTCACTCTTGAGTTCATCTCCTACCAAGAATCTTACACTTCTACTCTGCAGAGAAGGAACATATTAAAAATAGTCTATTGTCATAGAATGGGAGTTCTGAGTCACATTCCAGCATCTGTGCCCCCCAAATGTGAAAACAACCCAAGGCACAAGCTTTACCCATTCTATTCACCGGTCAAAGGCAAAGAGGTCACGAGTTCTCAGAAAGTAACTCTGAATCGTGCTGAAAAATTATAGGTCAATAAAGAACTTTTTATATAAAAATATCTAATATTTATTGAGTACATTTATATGCCGGACATCGTATTAGACATTTTAATGCCTTATCTCATTTAATCTGCAACAATACCAGGTGATACGGATTACTATCATATCCCCTCTCTTATTTTAAAGATGAGAAAACTGGGATGAAGTTCACGTACTTATTCAGGGGGTAGAGCTAGAATGGGAACTCAGAATTTGAATCTGGAAGCAACAGGCCCACAGAAAAAGAAACTTCCCTTTTAGAGAAATCAGCCTTTAATGGTTGCGTGTTTGATGAAAAATCAGTTCTGGATTTTTTTTTTGGAGGAGTGGGAGGAGCAAGGGCAGAGGGAGAGGGAGAAAGAGAGTCTCAAGCAGACTCCATGCTCAGCACTCAGCGTGAAGCCCAACACAGGGCTCGATCTCACGACCCTGAGATCATGACCTGAGCTGAAATCAAGAGTCGGACGCTTAGCTGACCGAGCCCCCCAGGCCCAGTCCTGGAACTTTTTGATCTTGACTTACCTATTTCTCTCATGCTTGGTTCTTTCTGGTTCCTTCAATTCCCCTCCCAGCATCACCTGACAGACACCTCATCCCTCTCCACCCATGAATAACTGGAGATGGGCCTCCTTTTTTTTTATTTTTTGTTTTGTTCAAGGGGGATTTTTATTTATATATTTATTTTCCAGGGCTGTAAAAATTTTATGTTCAATCAAAATAGGCAATGAAACTTCATTTCCTATTTAGCACATGAAGTAAAAATAGTTTGATCCCCAAACATTTAAAAGTGTATCTTTTATTTTAAATTGAAGTATAGTTGACATACACTATTTTATTAGTTCAGGTGATGGACCTCCTTTTTGGCTGAGCCTCATAACCTCCTACTCCTGAGTCAAACCGATCGTACATTTCCCTGAGTTCCCGAGGCTGGCAGCCAGGAAGAAACCCTTCCCTTGAACCTTCACTTAGGTTTTCTCCTCCTGCTCAACCCCCTGCTGCTCTTACCTCTGCCCAGTCTTGACTCACACTGCTCACCGCCCACCCCACGTACCTGCCCGTGCCTCGCCACATTACAGACAGTAACTGCAGAAGCAAAGAAGGGGAATTCAAATAGAAGGAGAGCACCCTCCACCCTGTGCTGCCCACCGCCCTCCGATGGGCCATCTGGCTTGGAAAGAACAGAGGAGAACGGTGTCCAGAACAGAAGCGAGGAAAAGCACATGGCCATGTGCCTCGCACCTTTGCTGCCCAGCCTTCCCCTTTACTCTCCACTCTGCACATGCTCAGTGCTCATCTCTCCAGCCCTATAATGCCTCCTCACTGTCATCCCTCCTCCCTGCTACCCCGCTGCTCCTCCTGCCTCCAACCAGTGGGACTCACCCTGTCTGTCTGCTGGATCTTTCCCTTTCCTCCCCATACCTCAACCTTCCATACCTCCCACCCACCTAGGCACAAAACCTGCCCCAGACCACGTGAGTCTTCTCCTTGGTCAGGATGCTAGATAAGGAGGTCTGAGTCTCTATTCAAACAGCCAGGATACAGTCCCAGGGCTCCAAGTTTGCTAATGTCCTTTCCACTGATGCACAGAAAAGATAGTGTGGTACAACAGCCAGAGCCATAAGAGATAAGACTTTTGACTCTATAAAATAAAGAAGCGCATTAAATGATCTTCCAGCTCAAAGTTCAATGTTCCATATATCAAGCCTGGTGATGCCGTGACTATAAGAAATTCACTCTGACTTCTGAAATAAATTTGAAATGAGCCTCAGAGCACAAAAACTTAAATGTTGAAGACTGCCGGGATAGAAAAATATCGACTAAGTGGGGTTTTTTTATTGTTGTTGTTTTTAGGTTGTCTTCCGTCGGTTTTTAGTCTTCAAAACATGAATATTCATTTAAACTAAGAAAATCACTTGTCATATTAAACCACTTCATAGTATTACTCAACATGACTTTTTGTCAGTGCCTGGAAAAGGTAATATTCCTTACAGTTCTAACCCTTCATGAAGATTCCATCTCACAGTCTCAGTCCATTGATGCCTACAGGCTGCGAGCTCAGAGGCAGCCCTTCACACCAAAGAATAATGCAGGCCCATCTGAAACCCCCATGGCCACCTCCAAATATATCAAGAGCCCATGACCCACTCTATCTTTTGTTTCCTTTGCTGAAATACAAATGTGCCTCTAACCTTTCTCTCCTCGCTTCTTCTTTGTTCTGTCAATATGGTCCTTGAGTTGAATGCGGACCTGTCGTTCATTAGGTTGGTCTCGTATAAATGGATGCTTCATCAATTGTTCTGTTGCTGGTCGCTGGCTGTGATTCTTTACCAAGCAGCTCTCAATAAATGACTGGAATTTTTTTGACCTGCCACATGAAAGAGATGAACCCACAGATAAAAAGACAATCCAAAGAAAAAGCAAACTTCCATTTTCTAAGACACTACAATGAAAAAAAAAGAAGAAAGTAGGTGCAATTAGTCAACACAGGGATCAACCAATCACAAAATAGGTCTAGAACTTTATTAGGTACAATGGGGTTCAAAGGCATCACCACCATCAACACACAATTCAGGCAATGTATGGGAGTTACACGCATAAAAGCATTTTTGCACAATTTATATATAATATCACATAAGAGACCAAAAGGAATCGGAGAAGAGAAAGACCTTGGTGAGAGTCACATCTGGAAGGTCCATTGTAATGAGGGTACCTGAGTTGGGCTTTAAAGAATGAAGAGGAAATCACTCTGGGAAGACAGTTCAGGGAGGCAGGAAATAGTGAAAAACTAAGGCTGGGGCTGAGCACACTATACGTCGGGGCACACTGAGGTAAGCTGTCTAAATGAGGCAGAAAATGAAAGCTGGGGGAGAGCACAATCAGGGTTGGCTAGGTAAGGAGGAGTACATTTTGTAGAAATGAGAAAGATTCTTACTTGGTAAAGTGAACTTGGTTAGGCAAATTTTTTAACTGGTGATTTCAAAATTACTTTTGAACTTTGCTCTCCAATTAATAAGAACAGGGTGTATGTGTATGTTTGCTATCAACCCAAGGACTTGGAAACTTAGGGACTAAGTTCATACCCAGACGTGCACTTATCTCCCTCTAGAAAGGCATTATTTCCTCAAAGATAAACACTGTGCCAGAGAGTCACAGGGCAGGGGAGAGCTGGGGAGAGACACCATAGTAATGAGTAGGGGAGCAAGTCCACACTGTGGTAGAAATTAATGGTGGACTTTGGCTATGATTCACGAGCTGGGCATGCATGTTTTGGCCCAGGAAACTGCCCAGCATCATAAATAATTACTTCATGACTATATAGCATGCCTTTCTGGTGTGCCCCACTGTCAGCTTGGCACATCACCCTCAGAGACCTTAGGGGAACTCTGGTCACCCTCTTCGCGGCACCCACTCTGCTCAGAGCAGGAGGGAATCCATTTTGTGCTCTCTGTCGCCCTCCTGTGGAGCACTGTGGAATAACAGGAGCGGATCCCAGGAGCCAGCTTCCCTGGGTCCGCCAGCAGGCCCCCCTCCACACAGATTTCAGGCTTGAAAGCTGTCCTCATCACACAGAACACAATGGTGAGCATGTTCTTTAAAATTCAAATGCAAGAGGGCACTCAATGTAAGAGGGCACTCACAGATGCACCACTCTCCACTTCGGCCCTGGTCAAAGCAGTTTCTCATTTTATTCCATGTTTTTAAAGGACTGAATCATTCATATTGTTTCCTCCCTAAATTTCTAAGCTAAGTTCAAGCTTTCAAATTATTTTACATAGAAGCAGATGTACCCTGCTATGCTGGGGGTCACCCCAGGATCAATCAGGATCGGCCACCCTGTGGACTGTGGAAAACAGTAATAATAGGGTGGACACTCTGTGCACCTTCTTGCATGTCCTTCAGCCTGTACCCCTGCTTCCTCCACATGGGCGGTCTCCAGTGTCCAGTGTGCCTGAGTCATCTTTGTAGCCGGAGCACCCTACCTGCCCTCAGATGCTTGAGGAACGAATGAATGCACGCATGGTTATCAGATGTGAGTTCTGGACAAGTGTGTGTGAAATGGCTACCTTCCAGTGTGTGCTTGTGAGGGACAGACAGGGAGGTTTGGAGAGGAGATAATATTGAATATGCTTTCTTTTTCAGGCCCACCAGACAAATCCGTGGAGACACAAATGTGATATCATCTAAGGAGAGACTTTGTGAAAAAAATCCATCGTGGAATAATGGGCTGTCCTAAGGAATAAATGGAAGAGACCGAGGTGAACCTGCATAAAGAAATAGACAAGTTCCACAGGGCACTTTTCTAGGTAGAAAATCAGTATCAAGAACATGAAAACAAAAACAAATTAAGACAGGGAGCTGTTGAATATTCATTAGCAATGCAAATGAAAGCTGTTTTTTTTTCTGCTTGCAACTAGAAGGAAGTGCTTTCTTTTTATAAAGTATTCAACTATTAATTAGAAGGTGATAAATAAAAGAAACCACACCCAATTTAAACATGAGATCCAGACTTGATAAACTGTACATTCCATTCCCCAATACTGACACCTAAAAAAAGGCAGTGGCAACTAGGAGGAGAGAGTGTTCAGAGTTCAGCAGAACCAGCTGTGGTACAGAGTTCTCTTTCCACTATCTCTTCCAGTGGGAAGGAATCTTCGGAGATATTCAGGAGAATAACTCTGGGTCCAAAGGTTGGGCCAAGATGTGCAGGACCACAAAGCTGGCAACGTATCTCAAGTTTTCTTCAAATGGTACCATTTGAAGAGAGAATAATGCTACCTTAAAACAAATCTTCGAAGAAAGATTCATTGTCTCTTATTTAAGTTAGTACGACCAAGGAATCAATATGCTTAATTACACGTTTAATTAAAAGTAAAAACCCCTCCCCTATGTTGAACACCACTTGGCTGTTTGCTGAGTGGTCTAATGGGTTTAAAGTACATTTATATAACTTTATTGTTTGCATCTCTGCTGACGGTAATTTAGTTCTGTCTCTTAAAAAGAAATGCCTAAGATTAGTAACACTAATTTCCCCAGGGTTGGCCTGGAGAGATAGATGTTAATGTTTGGTGCTTACAGTTGGAAGCCCCGGTTCTAATACCAGCCTCACCAAACACTTTATCTTCCCAGAGTTTCTCAGCTTATATATTTAATTGTGTTAGAGGAATTAAAAACGCCTGAAAGATTATTACATTAGTCATTATAACCAGTCGGGCTAAAAGTTTTTGATAATCACAGGACTCCCTAAATGTAATTTTGAGCTTTAGAATTTGCATTTGCCCAGAACTACCTTTCTTCTCTACGTTGGGCTCTATCACTTTTTAACTGTGTGACTTTGGGCAGATTATTTAACTTCTCTGTGTCTCAGTTTCCCTGGCTGCGGATGGTGATATTGTAGGATTTATCTCAAAAGACTGCTGTGATGATTCAGTGAATTAATTCATGTAAAATACTTAGGACTTAAACTGTATGTATATAAACATAAGCTGTATGTATGTTTGCTGTTGTTATGATTATTACTATCATGATGATGACAAGGTTCCGGCGACCTCTGACCATCACCAGGCTTAAACAACAGGAGTATCTATCTGCCTTTAGGGCTGGGGGTAGAAATTTGAAGTTCAGCCTCTGTTGAACCGAATAGTGTAGTGTTCTTAAAGGGAATTATTTCACATATATTTGGGTTAGATATGGTAGAGGAAGAGTCAATGGGACCACTCTCTCCAAGGAGACCATGCAAAAAAGAATTTTTAAAAACCTGTGCAGCAATTTTTGTTTTGATTTTAATAAAGTCCAAAGTCACATTACTACTAGCAAATTCAGTTAATTTGAAGTATTTTCTGATATTTGCTTTCTATTATTATTTTTTCATTTAGAACACACACACACACACAACCCCAAATAGCTTTGTCATTTCTTAAAAAACAACAGTGTCTGTGCTTGGTGGCGCAGTCGGTTGAGTGTCAGACTCTTGGTTTCGGCTCAGGTCGTGACCTCAGGGTCATGAGATCGAGCCCTGCATCGGGCTCCATGTTCATCGAGGAGTCTGCTTGAGATTCTCTCTCTCTCACCCTCTCCCTCTTCCCCTCATGCTGTCTCTCTCTAAAATAAATAAGTAAATCTTTAAAAAAACAACAACAACAACAAAGAACAGTGCCTGACAACCCACCAAGAATCAGAACTGGTGTTTCATAAAATAGCAGGAGGGACTATAAGCTTTGGAGTGAAAGCAGAAGGCAGGGGTTCCAGGTTGGATCTAGCAGTGAGGAGCCTGGGACCCTGGATAAGCCAGTTAACCTCACCAGGCCACTAGTCTTCATCTGGAGCACAAGTGGGTTGGACCAAGGAACATTACGTCTCTTTCCACTGAGAAGCACTTAAGATTTTTCTTTTTTTTTAAGATTTATTTATTCATTTTATTATTTATTTAATTTTTTAAAATTTAAATTCAATTAATTAATATGTAGTGTATTATTGGTTTCAGAGGTAGAGGTCAGTGATTCATCAAACTTTTATAATACCCGGAAGCACTTATGATTTTTCTAATGATCTCAGTCAAGTGCTTCTTTGCCTGTGCGGAATCTTCACATTTAAAGAGCATGGGAAAAGAAAAAGACCAACTGTCTTTTACAGGAATGAAGTCCTCCCCGAGTTTCTCCAGAAACTCCTGCAGGAGACTATAGCACTGAGTAGGGCAGGGCAGCCAGGGTGAACATGGTAGGAAGAGAAAGGTGAGGAAATGTGCTGAAGGAGATGGTTGACCCATGTGGGGGAAGTCTAGCCATGTTTAGAGACAGGAGGAGGAAATGGGAGTCCCAACTTACTGCGCATTTGCCCATGGTGACATGGAGACAGAGGCCAAGAGCATCCTTGGCCTCTAATTCAGCTGAGGTTAGAATCCTCCCAGAGACCTAATTATTGAATGGCTGGGCCACCTGGGCATTGACTGGAGCCCTGACCACATGACCTCCTCGGCACTGAGGCCGCTCCTCATCTCGCTGATGGGGGTGGAAAGGGCCAGGTTCTGGTGAGTCGGGGTGCTTTCCTCACCCCCCAACAACAAAGGGGCGAAGAGCGGTGCTCCTGCCTTTCTCTCCCTAATATTAAGGCACAGGAAAAAAAATGTTCAACTGAAAGACTAGTACCCCATTCTCTAACACTCAAACCTTGAACTTAAGAGGCCAGATGATCCAGTAGAGAGAATGGGGGTTACAAACTTGGGAAACTAAAAGATTGTACAGACTTGTGCAAGGAACATGATCCACCCAAGCCTCAGTCTTATAGCTACGGAATGAGGACTAAAAGCATCTGCCTGGTGGGATTGTGGTTAAGATTAAATTTATATCTATATAATAAATATATACATATACACACATATATAAATTACTGAGTCTGCAACATGCATATGCCTTCTATGTCCTGTATGTTGTAGGTTTAGCAAGGTAGCCGGAAATGACCCTCAACTGAATGCTTATCATAAAGAGTTCATGGCCCATTTCTACCACAGTGGTGCCCCCCTTTGGCAGTACTTTGATATATACCCTAAGAACAGTGTATTTCCTCTGATAATTCATTAGGCAGAGAAGAGCTGGATATAAAAAGAACTCCATTTTGGAGTTTTGTTTCTCTTGATGGGTGGGGAGAGGGATCCTCTCCCTTAAAAAATAAAAAGAAAATAAATAAAATATTTCACTTCCTCCCAAACACTAGGGCATATTAAAGCAAACCCTAACTTACTTCTCTTTTTTTGAGCATTTTTATTTTTTTTCTTTTTTTACATTTTATTATTTTATTTATTTATTTATTTTGATGTAGTGTTCCATGATTCATTGTTTGCGTATAACACCCAGTGCTCCATTCAATATGTGCCCTCTTTAATACCCATCACCAGGCTAACCCATCCCCCCACCCCCTCCCCTCTAGAACCCTCAGTTTGTTTTTCAGAGTCCATAGTCTCTGATGGTTCATCTCCCCCTCCAATTTACCCCCTTCATTTTTCCCTTCCTACTATCTTTTTCTTTCTTAACATATAATGTATTATTTGTTTCAGGGGTACAGGTCTGTGATTCATCAGTCTTACACAATTCACAGCGCTCACCATAGCACATACCCTCCCCAGTGTCCCTCACCCAGCCACCCCATCCCTCCCACACCCCACCACTCCAGCAATCTTCAGTTTGTTTCCTGAGATTAAGAAATCCTAACTTATTTCAAATCACTTTGGACCTGGTAATTCAAGAAAGTACTCTGCAGTGCTTAAATATTTTCACTTAAAAAGTAGAATTCTATTGGGGCCACCTGGGTGGCTCAGTCGGTTAAGCATCTGCCTTTGGCTCAGGTCGTCATCCCAGGGTCCTGGGATCGAGCCCCATGTCAGGATCCCTGCTCAGCGGGGAGCCTGCTTCTCCCTCTCCCACTCCCCCTGCTTGTGCTCTTTCTGCCAAATAAATTTAAAAAATCTTTTTTTTTATTTTGAAGTAGAATTTTATTGCAGAGAATTAGGAGCCACATCCTGTGTCCTATGGCCTGGGGGTTGGGGGGTTGGGTCGGCTGCATAGCCATCTTATAAAGGCCAGGTTCTGAGCGAGACAGAGTTCTTCACCAGGGCTTCTGTTTTCCCACTCACTCTCTCAAACAGCCAAGTCGTTTCCCCTTCTCTGTCCGGCAGTGTGGCACTCACACTCCTAACTGGCTTTCTTTCAGAGTCAGGGAGGCCGGGTGAGATGGAGGCCTGGCCTCCTCACTGTCCCTGGACTGACCCAGCTCCTGACAGCACCGCCAGAATTAGTTTCTGTTGTCAAAGGTTCGAAGCAGAAAAGTCGGCCTGTATTCTCCTCATTCTCAAACAAGGTCAATGCAGAGTTGATCTTTTTGGGAATAGGGTCAATGAAAATTAAAACTGCAGTGCAGGGGCTGTTCATTCACTTTTCTAAGGAGACAGAGAGATCACGCAAAGGGGATAAGAGGAAAACAGGACAAGTGCAGTGACCAATTTCGGAGCTGGGGAGAGGTGGCGATGGGCAGAAGAGCCATCTGGTACCTTCCAAAGGAGCCACTCGGCTGGGCAGGGGTGCTGCATCTTTGCACAAGAGGCCCAAAATCTGAATGTGATGCTCAAACACCAGATTTCTAAAAGTTGGCAATTAATACCAATGTTTCTGAGACACAGTGTGTGGCCACTTGTGCTGACCAAACGTAACACATGTGTGGATGGCCAGTTTGTGCTCTGTGGGCTGAACCCTGGAAATACCCGTCCAGCAGCAGTGCAGGAAGCGGCAAGGGAGGGAGGGCACAGGGTAAGTAAAGCCCACCGTATACAGTGTGTGTGTGCTGGGAGGCGGGGGGCAGGGAGGCTTGGCCCAAAGGACAAGCAGCAAGCTGGCAGAGGGCTTTGCAGCACTCCTGATGCTTCCCGGGGGGGAGGGGGGAACTGAGCTGGATTCTTTCCCGGGGAGCCTGTTCCGGGGAGAAGGGAGGAAGCAGGGTGTCCAGGCCCTGCTGGTCATGTGCCGTACGGGGGCCCAATGGGAGGCTGTTGCTGGGGAGAGAACAGCAGGCTCACACAGTGACCCTCCAGAGTGAGAGGGAGGAGCAGGGCTGCTCAGCCCCTTGTTGCCCATAGCAACCCTCAAGCTCTTCCTCGGCAGGCCTCGGCAACTCAGGGCTGCCGGTCCCCTCTGGCTGGTTCCCTCTCTTGTCTGTGCCGTGTGCCCTTCTCTTGTCACACCGGGGTTGCCATGTCACTACTAGGTGACTGTAGTAATTTAGACTGCAGAGGGTGAGGCTGCGGGTGGGGAGGGGAGGAACATAAGAGTCCCAGCAAGGGTGATCGTGAAGTGATCATGAAGTATGAAAAGGGGCAGAAAGGTCCTGAGCCTTCATGCTCTAACTGCCCAGAATATGTCTTTAGAAAAACAGAGGGGGTCATAAGTGGTCCAGGAATTGGCCCCAGGCCAGGGCAATCAGATTCAAGGATGTATTGGGACGTATCAGGAAACACCATATACACAGGGGGAAGAAAGGAGCCATGGATTTTTGTTATGCAATGATAAGGTACAAAGACCCCGATGTAAGTACACACAAAAGTCCAACTTCTGGTCTAACCATAGAACTGTATTTCTCAAACTTGAGTCAATTGTATACCACCAACATAATTTTTTGTTTGTTTGTTTGTCTCCACACCCAGCCTGGAGCCTAACATGGGGCTTGAACTCATGACCGTGAGATCAAGACCTGAGCTGAGATCAAGAGTCAGAACGCTCAACCGACTGAGCCACCCAGGTACCCCACAACCAACACAATTTTTAACCAGACTTTTGCATCATCCATCCTAGCATCCACTTGGTATTTTTCTTTAAATTAGGTCAAATTTTTTTAAGTGAATAAGTTTATTAAATGGGAAGTGTGTATCACTGCCCCAAATAAGAAGCCAATATCACGTGCCATAAAGGGAAAGCAATAGTAAAAACAAATATTACAAATATTTATGCGCAGACCAGTGAAATCATCCCTCATATAACCAGGTATGTGTAGGCACTCACAGATTTACCATCTTAAGGAGTAGAAGAAAAGCCAGCCAACCTAACCGGCTGACTCTTGGAACTATCACCCCCTCTGATGAGATGTCTTGTGCTGCCAGGCAAGATATTTCTTGGGAGGATGATAAATCAAAGAGCTTTCATGTTATTACTTGGGTTCCACTACTCACTTTAGCTAATACCTCCTTACCTTGAAGGGTATGGTGATAAAGACTTGCAGAGCAAATAGTAGGTACTTAATATGTGCTTTAAGATGAGTGACAGCCTATGGAAAATCACTCACCAGGTCTCAGTATATGTTGGTCTCGTCATGCAGCTAGACCTAAGGATTTGGGCTCGTCCAAGAGAGCATCGCAGGAAAACCCTGCCCTCGGATTGACAAAACACCAAAGAAGACCAAACTCACCACTTCTTTGACTTCAGGCGAGGCGCTGGGTTCCGGGGGATGAGGAAGAGGGCTCTCATGGGGTGCATGTCACAGAGAGCTGCAAGAGACCAAAGCAAGGGCCAGCTCAGGTTAGGAGGCCAAACCCAGGCCAAATGGCTCTGAGGCCACACATGCCCAATGAGCAAAGCCAGAAGATCACAAAGCTTCTGTGTGCTGAGCATTTAAGAGAGCTGATGTCTAATTACAGAAGTCTCATAAAATATGCATTTCAACTGGACATTGTTAACATTTCTACTTCTACTTCATATTTAAGAAAACTAAGTTAAAGGGTCAAAGCCTTTGCTTTGCTATAAATAACCATCTCAGATTCAGAGTAAACAACATCAAGATAAAAACTACAATGGAGATGGTAGGTTACTTTTAATTAGCAAAAGCCTAAGTCATAAAATGAAAGATAGATGGTCTATTTCTTATATACTGAAGGCTCATACACATGCAATGCTATCTACATAGATTTTTTAGAGTATAAAGCACTCGACCAGAACACTTTCCTCTCTGTATTTCCAAATATCCTGATGGCTTTTTAGGTTTCATGACAGGTTCGTTTCCGTTTTTTGTTCATTTGTTTGTTTGTTTGTTTGTTCACTGGCCCCAGGAAGAACAGAGAGATCGACGCAAAGAGGGTCTGGTAGAAAAGTTATTAAAATATTTCAACCTGTAAACATGGCACTATGGTTTATAGAGAAAGCACTCATGCATTCTTCTTTTAATCAAAATATTTCACTAGTTTACTTTTTTAAATCTCCGGGGCTATCTTTTCCTTTGTGCCCAGAATAAGGATATATTCTCCCCGAAAGCTAAAAGATTCTGTGGGTAGAAGTTTATTTTTAGCCCCCTCTACTACTCATCAAGGATGATAATATGAGGATAATATTTCAGACTGCAATATATGATTTTTTGGATTCATAAATGCCTATTAGCATTGCCAATGAGGGCAATGTTGTCAACAAACACTCCAAATCAATCATGCTACAGATGAATTCTACCAACTCTAGAGTGAGAAATACAAAGGCTATGATAACCTGAAGATAAACAGCCGTGTGAGCCAAACGACCTGCCATGCACAGAAGGGGGTTCGTTTTGGGTTCAGGTTCTCCGGAAAGCGGACGCCAAGGCTGCACTAACCAAATGAGAATAGTTCCAGGGGAAATTTCTGCCGGAAAGGCAGTGGGGAGGGGGCCAGGGCAGGTTGGTGGAGCTGTCACACTGCTCTGCAAGTCTGATCGGAGTGAAAGCGAGAGGCAGACAAGGTAGGTGGAAGTGTGCTAGACTGTCCTGCCGCCTAAGGAAACCAAGCGGTGGAACTGAGGAGTGAGAGTTGCTTACAAAGGCATCTCCTGTCTTCGAGAAAGAGGTCTGCCTTGGGCGCCTGGGTGGCTCAGTCGTTAAGCGTCTGCCTTGGGCTCAGGTCAAGATCTCAGGGTCCTGGGATCGAGTCCCACATCGGGCTCCTTGCTCGGCAGGAAGCCTGCTTCTCCCTCTCCCACTCCCCCCCTGCCCCTGCTTGTGTTTCCTCTCTCACTGTGTCTCTGTCAAATAAATAAAATCTTAAAAAAAAAAAAAAAGGCCGGCCTTATATCTCTGCCACGCTAGGACCCTGAATAGGGTGGGGTGGGGCGGGGCGGGGCGGGGCTTGGGGGCTGCTGCTGCAGCCTGACCCTTGGTGAGCTGCGCTTTCCTGCAGGAAGTTCGCAGAGCCCATGGTCATGGCCAGCACGCGCCTGGCGGAGGCGCTCTGCAGCACCCACGCTCCAGAGTGCAAGACATTTCCTTCCCCGGATGGCCGGAGCCCTGGCCGCTCGGCCTCCCACCTAAAAATCTAAACAGCAGTATTATATTAGGGGTGAGAGCAACCGAGTACAAGAGTTTGCGTAAGTCTCGCACTGAGAATCAGTTCTGGATTTTTGTTAAGTTGGAGTTTACAGACTTTGTGGGTTGGCCCCAGTTTTGCATTAGGTAAAGAGCAGTTCAAGAATAAACGACGCGTGGAATCTGTCAAACAAACCAGGTCCCCTAAATTCCTTTCCCTTTTCTTTCTTTTTTCCTCTAAACACAGGATCCTCACACGGCTCTGAAATGAATGGGTTCTGGTTGAGCTAAGGTGACTTTGCTTTCTAAATATGCCAGCTCGAACCCACACCGGGCTCGGCGAAGCAGAAGGAAAGCTACCCTGGCACGGGCAAGAAGGCTCGGCACCTGCAGAGAGCAGCCCAGCAACAGATCTCACCCAGAGGAAGGTACTTACGGGGAGCACCTTCTGCCATCTCGATAGCGGTGATTCCCAAAGACCACAGGTCACTCTGAAAGAGACGAAGGCACACACACATGCATAAATGCAGGCAACAAAGAATAATTTGCTTCGCGGGTAACTGCTCCACAACTCCCTGTAGGAAAGCCGTTCCTTTACAAACCTGTTTCACCCATGAAGTTTAAAAGCAGGGGCAGCCTTTTATTTTTATTTTTTTCTTTTCACCGGTAACGTCTTTCACGGTATGATCTGACACATGGTGGGTTTTCAGTAAATATGTGAAAAATGAATATGAGGTTTTAAAAATTAATTGATCACCAAAATTTATCTATGGATCGAACCATACGAAACTGGTATGATTGGACTGTTTTTAACACTTTTATTCAGGTATACTTATCATATAATTCACTGCTTATTTTTAAAGTGTATCATTTGGCAAGTTTTGAGACGTATGCACCTGTGAAAGCATCACCACAGTCAACATTGTAAATATATCCAGCACCCCCAAAAGGTTGCACTTGTTCCTTTGCCGTCTCCCCTCCTGCCCTCCCCTCCTACCCAGTTCCTGCTCCGAGGCAACCACCGATCTGCTTTCTGTCCCTATGGATTAGTTTGCATCTCCTGCAGTTTTATAGACATTAAATCATTCCATTTCTTTCACGAACATAATGGATTGAGGTCCAGCCTTGTTGCAGTGTGTAGTAGGACTTCATTCCTTTTTACTGATGACTGCTGTCCATCGTAGGGATATACTTACTACACTTTGTTTATCCATTCACTTGTGGATGGACATTTGGAGTGTTTCCAGTTGGAGCTACGGCAAATAAAGCTGCTACAGACGTTCATGTACAAGTCTTTGTATGGACATATGCTTTCATTTCTTTTATGTAAACACCAAGGAGTGGAATGGCTGAATCATATAGTAGATGCATATTTAGTGGATTGCCTTGACCTACAAAGACAGCAATTTCAGATTGTTTAACCAAATAAGATGAGGACAGGGAAACTTTTGGGTGGTGGCATTCACTGATATATCTCCAGTGCCCAGGACAGAGCCAGGCACCATGGGAGGTGCTTGATATGTTTGCTGAATGAATGAACAATATCGCCTATCTTGTAAGTAGACAATACGTAAAACAGAGAGCCTGTACCCTTATATCCTTTCTTAGGGTAAGACTGAGTTTTACGTTGTTGTCAGAATTTTCTAGACTACTGCCTTTACCCCTGCCTGTGCAATCTGCGGCTGCAACAGTATGCTTCTCTTCCACTCTGCGTGTATGACTGAGTTGTCCCTAAGTATTGCACAGGAGGGAGCAAATCAAAAGAAGGGAGAAATCAGGTTAGGAAACCCCAGAAGAGAGGCTTGATGCTTCAGTGCCCCAGCAGATTGGTAAGGACACACAATGTGGAATTTGGTTCAGTGGCCTACAATCCTGATGAAGACTTTCATCCTCCTTTCATTTTCAGTATATCCAGAATTTTGCATGGTATTCCAAATTCTCTCCCGTAACCTCACGCAGATTACAGAAATCAAAGTTAAGTTTCCTTGCTATTCCCATCAAACAAATGTCAAGACCACAAGAAAGGAGATACACCTAGAAAAGGGACTATGAAACCCATTCTGAGCCATTACCCAGAACTAAACTTCTCAGTATCCTGTGAGTGACACCCAGCCCTGTCCAGTATTTGGACAGAGACCCACACATACATGGAGGGGGCTTTCTGCAGGGGGGTCTAGCCTCTTGCCTGGAGTGTCATATCTACTTTAGAGTAGGTGGCCAGGGCACACACTAACCCTATACTAGGACCAAGGGGAGATTCTTTTAATTCATGAGCCTCTCAGTCTGTTCACATGATACACATTCTCAGTTCAACTTGGGATAATAACACACCTGCATGATACCATTGTTCTCAGATCCCAAGTCACTTCTCTGCATGGAACACAACTCAAGAAGGCAACTTTTACCCTTTCTCTTTGTTATATTTCAAGATGTATTCCTCTTGTCATTACACACACACACACACACACACACACAGTTTGCACAGCCCGGCAAGTGACTGAGTTTTCCTGCGGACTCCTGGCCTTGCTTAGGGAGGCCCCTCTGCAGCTAATGGGGAAGGCCCAGGCCACTATTACAGGCTGACCCAGGAGCAGTAACTGGTAGAGCAGGAAACACAGGTCTCCCGTACCTGGGGTTTTAGGGTTGATTAACACAGACAGTCATTTGAGAACAGGACAAAAACACTGAGTCACTCATGGTGCAGTAGGCATTAAACAGGAAACACAGCAGGAATAGTCTGGAAATGGTGGGCTGTGCTATTTTGACAGGATTTCAGTATCTCTAGGACTTGGTGGTTCTACCATTTTCCCTCCATCTCCAGAAATTGAGCGTTTCTGTCATATGCAATGAGGTGCTAATATAGAGGTGGTGGCCAGGCTCTCTGTCCCCAAGGGCCACAGCAGGGTCAAATTTAAGTGGCCTTCAACTCCTGGAAGTGTGAGCTGGTCCGAAAGCCAACTGAAGGCCAACACTTCCATAAGGAAATGACAGGGCTGGAGTGAGAAGAGCTCCAGGCCAGTCGTCAGATGGGGAAAAACTGCACAGAAAGTCCAGGCGAACGTCTGCCTCCGAGTCCTTGCTCTAGCTATATCCCTTCGGCGTGCAGCCACGACCCCAGTGGTGTGCGGGCTGACACCCTCCTCTCTGTAATAAAGTCTATGTTCAGATGCCATGTTCTCAGTGCAGACCCCTGAACATCTCCCCTGGCCCTACCAGACCCTGTTCTCTTTCCCACTTTGGTCCCCCAGAGAACGAATCACCTTCTCACATCTGTGTAATTTACTCATCCCTGATCTATAATGCGTTGTGTTTACTGTTTGTGTCCCCTGCCCCCAACGCACACAGACTAGATAGAACGTAAGGTCCACAAGGGCAGGGATCTTTGTTTTGTTACCTGGTATATTCCAAGTACCTAGAGCAGCACCCAGCACATACTATAGGCACTTAAGAATAATCGTTGAATGAATGAACAGATCAAAGACCCATGACGGGAAGGAGCAAAACTTGTGTCTTAAGATTGTCAGACTCCTTGTAGGACATCTCCAACCTGCCATTTCACAGACAGTGGGAAAGGACGTCCCCAACACCACAGAGCAACTCAGCACTGGGTTTGGAGCAGAGCTGGGTCTCCTGCCTCCCGGGCCCCTTCTCTTTTAACTGTCATCATGACATAAAAACCTGAGTATTCATCTTTCAAATAAAACCTATGAGGGGCCCATAAAAGAATTGTTCCAAATTCCTAATTCGTTTACAGGTAACTGAAGGTGCCAGAGACGCAATGAAGGTGCTGAGATTCAGCGAGGCACCCCAAAAGCCAGTGCTAGGAAACTGGCCTCCACTTCCCAGAGGCAGCATGAATAGTCTTTGAAGTCAGATGGGCCTGGATTCAAAGCCAGGTTCCTAACTACCTGCAGAACACTGCTCGGAGCTTAGCTTCCTCAGTGTACAACAGAGCTAACTGCAACATGCACGCACACAGGTCTGCTGCCTGGCACAGTCTCGGGCACACAGTGAGCTCCAGCATAGGAATCTCCTTCTTCTCTACTGTTAGGTGGGACTGCCTGTGCTTGCCCAATACAGTCTTCTATGTGTCCCCTCTCTCTGGTTGTGGCAGATCTTGTTTGTTGGCTAACCGCACAGGCATTCTCACAGTGTAGGAAAACTAAGCTTGTTTATCCAGACTTCCCTGCAGCTAAGGAGGGCAGGTAAGGACAGGACGTAGTTCTGGCCAAGAAAACACAGGCGAACATCCTCCGGGAGCTTCGGGGAAAGCTTTTGTTTTTCCTGATACAAGGGACAAATACAGCTGGTGTCTTGACAACTCTTTCCCACTTCTTAGTGCCTTGAATAAAAACATGATATCCAGAGTTACAGCATCCATCTTGCAACCATGAGGCAATAAGTCAATAAGTTAATTATGACAGGGTGGAATGGTAGGAGCCTGGGTTTTGAATACATCAATGAGCCACTATACCAACCTGGACAGCCTGCCTCTAGACTTCTGATGATGTAAGAGACATAAGAACAGCCAGAAGCGTTCTTAGTGATAGTATGTATACAGCAATAATTTGAGGGAACATATTCCAACAGTAGGAAAATGGAGAGGTCCCAGTTGTTAGGTGATCCTGGTTTTACCCCACAGGAAGCAGGAAAAGTCAGTGAAGAGAGAGGTTTCTCTTATTCAGGACACATCATCTCACCTCCCCTCTGAGGCAGCTTCCCCGCCCAAACCCCAAAACAACCCCTTCAAACCAAAGGTCACACAATCCCAAGTCCTTTGTACCCTCTGTCACATGACCAGGCCAGAAATTGCTTCTTCTTTAAGCCCTCATTTGATATCACCATTAGGATTATATATATATATATATATATATCTCCCCCACCCCGGGTTCTCCTCTTTTCCAAAAGGAACATTTATATTCCTGGCCATATATACCCAGAGCTGCTTGTAAGCTACGCTTAACTGCCTATGCTAGACAGCAATAAACGTCCTTGACGGGACTTGTTTTAAGCCTTTGGATACATTAGCAAGTCCCAAAGACACTTCAGAACCTAAATATGGGAGAAAATGTTCCAATTACAACTGGCAAGACAGATCACAGGAGACGAGAAAGGGAAGAGGGAGGAACAAGATGGGGAGAGAGTCAGAGAGAGATAAGTTTCCTTTGTGGCCACGGTGTGCCTCATTTTGGCAGGAGCTGGGTAATTCATTATTCCAGAGGCGCTATGCAGCCTGGCCTGTGGCATGATTAATAGCCCAGTCCTGTGTGCATTACAAACGGAACAGAGACAAATTCTAGCGCCTCTGAGAAGGCAGAGGTGAGCACGCAGCTTCTGGCTGGTGGGGCGGGCGGGCGGGGGGGCGGTCAACTGGCACGCAGGCCACTTGAACACAGCGAAAGAGCATTCCTTTTGGGGCTGGGCTGCCCAACCCATGAAGAAAAGGACACTTGCAGATGGCTCAACCAATCACACATGGAAAAGAGAGGGT